AAATTTTAGCACATATCGTATTTAATAGAGAATTTCAAAAAAATATAATGATTTTATAATTTTTCACAGCACTGTATATTTAAATATTTTTGTATCAGAAGTCTAAATAGGTCATTGGAACAGATATTGATTTTCCAGTGTCTCGTAGGTTAGACAGGATGCGTGCTCATCATGTTTTTCCTAAATTTTCAATAAACTTTCTTTGTTTTTCTTGCATGAGAAAATGAACGCATCGATATATATAGTGGAGAGTTTTTAACCATTAGAAGCTGAAAATTGATTTTTTTAAATTACTTTGATTGAACAAAATTGTTTCTAGTAATAGATTGCGACTAGATTATTTATGATGTGTATTACTTATATAGTTAACATTTATTGTATTCTATGAATAGATATTCCATAAAGTGATATCATTTCGAATTTTCTTGCCTTCGTTTATGTATAGTCATTTACTTTTACTCCAATAGCATCATAAAATCAGTATACAGGTTAGATTGACAAAAAACAGGCCAATTTGAACTTCTATAGAATTCAAAAAATCATCAAAAGACATTCCCAGATATTGCATGAACATGTTATTTCTAAAATTATTTTCAGTAAAAATTATCAATTACAACAAGTTCCTACATTGACTAACCAACTTTCAAAAACATCGGAAGATTCATCTAACGTAACTTCAATATCAAAATCTATTTCCTTTCCAATAAATTCTGTTGAAGCAACAACTATTTCATCAAAAATTAAACGAAAAAAATTAACCATGAAAGACATTTGTATGTATTATTTTCATCTATTTTTTATGTCATAAATAATTTTTTTTTTGTTCTTCTAGCACCAATTGATTCAATGAAATTACTTATGTCATTACGTGGTGGTCTATTAGCTGGAACTACTTGGGCATTAGATACAATAAATATAATGTTAAGTGATGATCAAACACATACATATTTAGATTTAAAACAAATGCCTGGTTTATTACAAGCTATTATTGATATTTATATTAAATGTTTAACAGAATTATTTGATGAATTTAAAATAGATAATAAAGAAATTTTAAATGATAATTCAAGAAATAAATATCAATATAAACAAGAACATGATTCAGTTATTTATCGAATTGAATCAAATTATTTAAATAAATATCAACGAAAATATACTAAACAACAAAATATTATTTATGAACATGTTTATGATGATTGTGGAAATCTAAAAAATAATCCAGAAAATGTATGTACTTTTTTTTTCTTTATTTATATTTAATCATAAGTCATTTGTTTCTTCATAAGATATAATGAGAGAATCACGCTTGTGCTGATATTTTTTTCATACGTAGAACTCAATAAGACTAGAAAAAAGGATGAGAATCCATAGATTTTTCTTGTCGAGTTATGAGTATTTTAGAAAATATATATCTTATAACACTTGAGATATTGAATGTTCAAGAAACTTCCTCATAGTGTGTTACTATCCGTCATGAAAATCAATTTTTCTTGAAAACTCACTATCTCAAGAAAAAGTATTCATTTTGATTGTGACATTTAGATCGTTATAAGTATCATTAGATCTACGACGTGCGAAGAAAATTTCAGTCGGAAATTCTGTGCTTTGAATTTTCTGTAAATCTCTTGTTATAAGTAATATGCTTACTAAAATGTTCAGAACTTGGCAAGAAAGACCTATAGACTTTCTCAGTGGTTTCTACTTTTGGGAAAAATACCAGTGCAAAAGCTCTGAACCACTTGGAGCAATTCTTCCGTATAAGTAAAAGTACTTAGGAATCGATTATGTGTTCTCACTTAGAACATGTTTTTTTTTTTGGGACTATTGCAATTGCATATCGAATTGTAACAACTCCATTGATTAATTATTTAGTTCTTTACAATTAAATTCAAGTCAATTGATTTCACTTAAGTGTGACTAATATAATTTATTTTTCATATTGTCAGTGTTACATTTCATTTAGCAGTACTCTTAGAGTTAACTTGTAATGATCAAGGAAACGATTTATGATATATCCAGCTGTGAACAATGCTGTTAAATATACAACTTTAAATATTGAATTTCTTTTTTTTTTTTTTTGGTTAGATTTTAGAACTTCAAAATACAGATGAGTTAAGTTATATTAAAACTCATTTTGATCCATTACATAAAGATGATAATTATTATGAAAATCTTTATTATGGTCATCATTATGATGATACATTATCATCAGATGAACATGATCAAGAACCAATAAAAAAATCTTATATACCATCATCACATAAACATATTACAACATATGAAATCAATAATATAAAATTTCATGATCAAAATTCTGATCTATTATTAAATATATCAGATGATAATAATAAAGAATTTCTTCAACGTTATAAACGAAAATTTCAATCTGATGAAAATTCTTCTAATATTTATTTGACAAATTTAAATAATCAAGAAGAAAATACATCAACATTATTTAGTCGATATTCATCTGGTTATGATCAAATATGTTCTCGTTGTATATGTATATCAACAATTTTACGAAATCTTAGTTTTATATCAGGCAATGATATTGAATTAGTTAATAATAAAACATTAATTCATGTATTAGCTCGTCTTTTATTACTTGGACATAGTATTAATCATACTAATAAAACAATTTCTTTATCAAATGAACAAATGAAAGAATTATCGAATGATCAAATTATAAATGATTATTCATCTAAGGTAATTTAAATTCTCTATCAAATCTAAAGATATAAAAGATTGAAGACATGTCATTTATTAATTTTGCTAATATATTACGGAAATTATACCGTAAAGATATTTACAAAGGCTTCAATTTGAACTATTCTGATAAGATTTGAATTGGGTCTTCTTTCATTTACTTCAAAAACAAAAAAAAACAATTTGTTCTTCATAAACCCTCTTATGATAACGCGTTTATGACGCTCTGACATACAAACCAGTCTTTCACTAATGTAAAGAGTATATGAAGAGCTGGAAAAATGGTACGAGCGAGCTCTATACATTACTTTAAACAAGGCATGTTCGATGATCATTCCATACCACTATTTCTATTAGAAAGCTGTAGGTCCTTCCTAACCCTAGCCCAGCCCGGTCTAGGTTTGGTTTGGTTCCAAACACATTCCTATTTTGTCGGGTTCGGGTGTTATGTAGATTAAGCTTTAGATTCGGTTTGCAATCAACTTCAATATCCTCTTTTTTGAAGTTTAATATCATTTATATAAATACAACTAAAACTGTGGCATATAGCTGAAGATTTTAGTGTTACTACTGTTTTAACATTTTTTTAAAATGTCAAATCTTGTTGAAGAAAAAATCGGAGTCGAGTCCATAAAAATAGAAACCTGTAGCTCACTAGTCTCTCTCTGTAAACATATGGGGTTGTTCAGTCTGGCTGGATACCCCATTGATATTTTTTTCTATTGCAAGGATAAAACATACTATTGTTCGGGTCATAGATAACCCTAGATTGGCCCGAATAATAATACCATGTTTTATCCTTACAATAGTAGAGAAACGCTACCAGCTGATCTATAAACTCGTAACTTTTCTCTACTAGTGTAAGGATAAAACATGCTATTATTCAGACCAATCTAGAGTTATCTATGTCCCGAACAATAGTATGTTTTATCCTTACAATAGAAAAAAATATCAATGAAGTATCCGGTTAGACTGGGTAACCTCATATGTAATCGATAGTATAGGAACAAGGATTTATTTTTCGAATATTTTCTACGATGAAACATTCTTTTTTTCGTTTGTCTTTAATTTAGAATGAAAATCAAAATACATCATCATCATCGTTTTCTTTATCTGAATGTTTAATAAACATTCGTGAAAATACTCTAGTCACTTTAACTAATATTGCTAGTGTACTTATTTTTGATACATATGATTCATATTTAATAAATCAATTAATTAATGGTCTATTATATTGGTCAACATGTTATTCAAATGAAATTATTGATTCATTACAATCATCATATATATCTATTCAACATTTATCTATTGAAATTTTAACTAAATTAAGTGTACATGATATGAATATGGATTTTATATTAGCAACACCATCATTTTATTGTATAATATCTTTATTTCATATTTTAACAAATTGGTTAAATGTAGATAATATGAATAATAATATATCAAATTCATATATAAATTTAACAAGATCTCAAGCATATATTCAACGTGAATTTGCAATTGTTTTATTAAATGCATTAATACGATGTGATTCAAATGTTGCACATATTATTGCACATATTCCATATACAATATCATTATTAATTAATTTTTTAGAAGATTATGAAAAAAAAAACTTTAGAATTAATAACACGTTATGGTTCAGATTATGTTTTAAATTTAATAAATAATCAAGAAACAGAACAAATATTATTTACAACAAATGATATGTTAAAACGTGCAGCAACATGTTTATTATCAATGATTAATTATACAGATAATATTAAAATAATGAAAAAATATGAAGATCGTATTTTAAATTTATCAATATCAAATATTATTGATCGAAATATTGGACGAATTCTTACAGATATTTTACATTATTGTTCATTATACAACAGTTAAATTGTAAGATTTATTTTATACAAAAATTTTTGTTGTTGTTTTTTTTTTTTGACAAAAATTGTATTTTTATGTAGTCATTATATTGTATGATGTTCGTATCAATTTTGTTCGTCTTCATTGGCTTTTTTTTTTCTTTATATACACTACGTATTTGTTTTTTGTTTTATATGAATCTCGAATGATTTTAATGAGACGAAAATAATATATAGATACAGAATGTGTTCGAATCGTTTGTAATTTAGTAATGTTTGTCATAGAATTATTTTTCTTGGAAAATAGCGATATGCTTTTAGGATAGTATCAATAATAATACATTTATACTAAATAAAAGTTTATTGTAAATGAGATTGTCTTTATAGGAAGAGAGATCAAACTAAAATGAATATAACAAACTTATGTTTATTTTTTTATAATTCATTAAGTCATGAAAAATTATGCATAATTTTGCTACATCCATTATTTTCCTATCATAATTAATTTGATCTCTCTTCCTATAAAGAAAATCTCATTTTCAATGAATTTATATTTAATATATATGTATTGTTTATACTATCTAAAATTAGAGCTTTATTCCCATAGAATATATTATTACATACCATCTAGATATATTAGATTTATTATTATGTTGATAGAGACTTTGGTTGCCAACAACAGTAACAGTAAAAAAAAGAAATTCTCGTCTGTTGTTTTGCTGCTTTATTATTCTTCTCGATGATCTTGACCGCGAGAATGTATTATATACAACAGAGCTCTTGATGTTCATTGTAAAAAAATTGGATGCCTTCTGTCCTTTTTATCTTCATTTGTTTATTAACAGTGTTGCAAAAAAAAGCTGAGATTAGATAATTTAAACGTTTGTTCATATTGTACTTGAACTAAGAAATTTACTTTTCTTATTCAATGACAAAAAGAGAAAGTTTTAATAAAAGAATGTTTAAGTAAGCGGTATAGATAAGAACATCAGTTATTATAAATATATATCACAGTAAGACTTTTTATTTCATAGCATTTCGAGAGAAATATACGCTACTTTTTTTATTTTATTTCTCAGTATTCAATTATGATTATAGTTCTTGATAAGTCATTTCTCTTGTTTTGAAATTAAATGTAAAGAATTGATCTATTGCAGCATGATTTTGTTCAGAGCATGTCAAAGAAATTTATGATCAAAATTAATGTATAACTTATCATTATTTATTTCAGATAGAATGATTTCTACCTATTTTTTCGTTTTCATTATATTGAACCTCTTACGTTATTCACGTAAGTTTTTATTTCTTTTTTTTGTCCACAAGAACTTTATATTTTCAATGATTTTTTAAGAATCATTACAATCTGGTTATACATGTGAAACATCAGTAACGTTAACATGTTCTCAATCACAAAAAATTGTCATTCTTGAAGTAATTTATTCATCGGAATGTCCAAATATAAATGAAAAATTAAATGGTACATCAATATATGCACCATCTCGTTGTATTGGTTATTATCGTGAACGAGCAAATACTCTATGTAATGGAAAAGAAAACTGTATTATAGACAATAGTCTTGAACAACGTCCATCATTTTTTGCTGGTAAACAAGCTAATTGTGCATTTAAAGGACAAAGTATAAATATTGAATATTCATGTATTCCTGGTAAATTAATAAAAAAAAATATCATTAAATAATTATTGATATAATAAAAAAATTATTTTAGATTTTTCTTCAAATAAATTACCTCGTCTTGACATTTGTTCATTACAATCTTTCGATAACATTACAGAAGGTTTTATTCGTACACCTAATTATCCAAATAATTATCCGAATAATCTACAATGTTCAAAGACAATACCAATACCAGTTGTTAGTCATCGGTAAGTTTGAGTTTTCTTTTTTTATTAATTAATTATTTTGTTTTTTTTTCCCCTAGACTAAAAATTTATGCTCTTGATTTTGATATTGAAAGTATTAGTGTAACTCGTTTGACGAGTATTACACGTATTAATGATTGGTTAGAAATAAATAATAATGGAGAAAAATTATATGGTATACGATCACCATTTACACTTTTATTTGATGATGTTATTGAAGCATCATTAATGTTTAAATCAGATTCATCTAATACAAAACGATCATATAATGGATTTTTACTTTATTTTATCGGTAAAATAATTTAATCATTCATAAACATACAAAGAAGATATGTGATTATACTATTCAGATGATCATGTCACACTAGATCGAAAGTTCGCTTTTTTAAATTAATAGTTCTATAACAAATAGACAATATCAAGACTAGAATATTTGTACCTAGAACTCGGATCTATGATATATTGTTCTTGAGTTATGGTCTTAATGAATTTGTTCTCCTTAGAAAAGCTTTCTTTTTGAAAAAAAAAATTTGAATTAAAGTAGTTTAGTACGTAATTTTGATGATAGATAGATACTACATAGCATGTCTTGACAGTTTCAACAGAAACGAATGAGTGTATCCTGAAATATTGAGTTTACAAAAAACAAATCTCGAGCATCATGTCTCTTGTTTGACCAGGTTTTTCCTAAACTTATTAACTTGAAATAAATATTTTTATTTTTGTTGAAATTTTCAAAATATTTTTTTTTAAAATAAGTCATAGAGAAGTTTTATCTTATCACGTATGTACAACTAACTTTAGTGTTGCAAGCAAAGAGTATATATATATACAGAGATTCGGAAACAAAAGAATTTGCTAGAAGATCGTACCGAGTCCAAAACTCACTAGAGAGAGAGAGCATACAAGATTCATACAAAAAAAGGAAGAAAAGGAATGTATTGGAACATATAAGAAAAGAGAACGGATATGCATTCACACATGACAGCACAATGAAAGATATAGATGGAATATATATATTTATAATAATGCCATCTAACAAATCACTTTAATTGAATTTTTTCAAAAGAGCTTGGCTAAGAGAGGAAGATACAGTAGAATGATCGTCATTTAGAGACAAAATACCACAAACCGTATTATCATAACTAGTATTTTACTTTCAATATCGCTTATGTAATATTGCAACTGTTGAGATTATGCAAACATTAATTTTAACAATATCATAACAGATAGCTAAGAGTAGATCTAGAATCATTTATCATGTATCTTTTAGTCACACCAGTTCGTCGTTCTCGGCCAACAAAAGTAATAACTACAACAAATTTGAATATTCTCTCTGATGATGATTCTACAAGTGTAATTCAAAAACAAGCAGCTAGACTTGGTATAGATAATCGACGACAAAGTAAGTCGAATCGAACTTTAAAAATTAAAATTAAGAAATCTATTTTATAAATTAGATAATACTGGCTTAATTTTACTTGTTATTCTTCTCTCTGGCATTCTTGTCATTGTCATATGTGCCGTTTTACTCTACAAACGGTAATTAAATAAACATAACTGTTTTGTTTCTTTTTTTCTAATAATTTAAAAAAAAAACATTCTAGTCGTAATGATCGCCGCCTTCGCTATTTCGTTGAAACATTTAATTCATTTTTACCAAAACAATCAAAAGCTGTAAGACTTGATTCATTTAATAATAGTGATGAAACAAAAATAGATTTAAAACATGATTTATCTTCAACAAATGACAATAATAAATCAAATTTAAAATATTTAAATGAAATATTTCAAGATTCAGATCATATTTATTCACCAGATCCAGTTGAAAAGAAAGATTTTTTAGAAACAAATAATGATAATTCACTTCTATATGATTATATTGATTATGAAATAATTAATCAACAAAAAAAATGATTATTTTAAATCAAAATTAAAAATATTGTATAATTCAAGTTTACAGATATTAACGCAAATGACATGGATCTTTTTCTTTTTTAATGAATACATAAACTAGATATGCTTATTTTGAACAGTGTATATTTTCTCTTTATATTCTTACTCATGTTTATTTCAATTTATTTTCCGTGTTGTCTTGTTCAATATTAAAAACTCATATATTCAAGCAAATAAACGAGAATATTATTTTAATAATAACGTTGTTTGATGAAATGTAAATGAAGAAACTAATTATGAGATAAATTAATTCACACTACCAAAGTGAGACATGATGTCATTGCAATGCAATGTTTCGAAAAGAAATTGTTTTATATATTAGCGAAAAATTTCTCTCATATCACTTTAGTGTTGAAAATAACTTTCTGATAGAGATTGAAAACTTGATTATATTTATTGTGTGAAATAAATAAGTGATTGATGAATTAGTTTACCTTGCAAATTAGAATAGTGTTTTCTATTATACAATAAAAATTTTCGATCATTCAAAAACAAAAAAAAAAAGGAAATTTATGAGTCATATTTGTATAAAAGCAATAGACAATACATGAAAGTATGAAAACATTGTAAATTTAGTTTTTATTCTCTATGTAGGTTGTTTAGTTGATTTTCGAATTAGTTTTATTTACAAATAGCAAATTTTATGGCAATAGTGTTGATATCTTTGTATAGTTCATATAGTCTTTTATGCATAAACATCATATGCTCTCGTATAATAAATATACATGTGGAAATATTTACTTGATCATGTAAAATACTATAGACTGTATATTTGAAATGTGAATAGTCCAATAGTTATGTAATTCATGTCTTAGATCAACATCGATATATGATTGTTAATCGCTAATACCGATGATTTCATTTTGAAACTATATTTGAATGAAGGGATGTTACTCACTTTAAACTATTACAAATATTGCATAAGATGTAACCTTTCAGAACAAGAGATTTTATCATTGATGAGAAAACGTTTTCAACTGATCAATCATGCTAATTTCGTATATGCTCATGAGAAATCTCTTTAGACCTTCATATGCTGACTTTCTAACAAAACTTTTTTCGATCTGTCCAGATTACAGAATATATCGAATTGACCAGAAAACCATCAACTTTTTCTATTTTAAATCGTTTTCTTTTCTAGAAAATAAATCATTTTAATTCATTCAACATGTCAATGTAAAAGTTTTTAAGATGATATTATTTTACTTAAAACTCATTTTTTGAAAAATAGAAAATATTAATGAGTTATAGACAACTCGATAAGCTCTATAATATAAGTTGATCTAAAACGATTATGACACAATGTTTGTTAGTATGGAAAACCAGCATACAAAGACCTAAGGACATTCAATGTTGCGAAACGTAGGTCACATATTTAAATAAATAAAGAATAGAATTTAAAATGAAATTCATCTCAGTTGTGACGTAACACATTGTCAAATAAATGTTTTTTCGATCTATTGCATTGGCACATAAGTTCTCAGCGTTTGAATCAGTAGAATTATATCGCCAATATAAAACTACATTTTACGGCAAGTAATTATATATTCTAACAGAGCTCAGAATCTTGACTTACATTTATTTGCTGAAAAAATATTTCGAACATTGTCAATACGAATGAGGGTGTCTTCACTTTATTCAAAATATTTTTTCAGCAAATAAATGCAAGTCAAGATTCTGAGCTCTGTTAGAATATATAATTACTTGCCTTAAAATGTAGTTTTATATTGGCGATATAATTCTACTGATCCAAACGCTCGGAACTTATGTGCCAATGCAATAGTATGAACTATTGTTCGATCATATCGAATGACAATGACTTTTTTTTTTAACAGTATTTATTTTAATATTGTATATTTAAATTGTTCATTATTAGTCTATATAATTTTTTCAAAAAAACAAAAGATTTTTTATCGAATGCTTTACAATGATTCAAGTTGACTGCTATTAAGTTGTAAACAAATGTAGTCGATAGGATTGTATCCATATTTTATGACAATTTCATTGTCATCAATGAAGGTAGCTCCACATTTTTCGTAAAATTTCAATGCTGGTTTATTTACTCGTCGACAAAGACATGTATAAGATGTTGCAAAAGGAAATACTTTAGTAAGATATTTTAAAAGATGCAATCCATAACCTTGTCGCTTGAATGTTGGATCTATAGCACATTGAGAAATGTATATGTCATTTGAATCATTTTCATTTTCTTTGATTGTCAAAAAACCACTGATAACGGATAAAGATGATGATGTGTATATCAAAAAACAACGACAATTATGAGAGAGTAATTTATTAGCTTCTTCATTAAATGCTGTTTCTAACCAAGTTAATAATGTTTCACCTGCTGGTAAATTTAATTGTGATTCTACGGTTTTGTAATTTTCATAGAATGATGAAACAAATAAATGTCGTAACTCAATTAATAATGGATCATTATTACTTGTTGGAATAAACTCTTCTATATGATGTTTGTTGATTGTAGGATGGCATGTTTCTTCATATTTTGATGATAAATATGAATTATTATTCGAATTCATTAAAAAAAATATCTGAAAAAATTCATAGTTCACTATTGTTTATGTTTAAAGTATCTGCTCATGTGCATCATTAAATCTTCCTACTATTTTATTCATTCTCTGTACAATGTCGATGATAATATACTATTGAAAGGTATGATTCATACAAACAAATGATAGAAATGATAAAATACGTGATAACTACACGTGTTCGAATAGTAAAGCATCCACGTTTGCAACGCCAAATGCACTTAATGATAAAAGTGCAATTAACAAGAAACAAATAAAATGTAATTGTTTATTTCAATGTAAATGTTACTTTCTTTGCTTAAATTAACAAAAATTTTACTAAAATTGCTCCGCTTTTTCTTGTGCATTCAAACAAAAATTAGTCAGCATTATTGTTTGATTAATCATATATTATAATGAGTATTCATATCTAAATAAATCATCGGATTAAGTATCTCTACGTACACGATAATGATTGATCCGGTAGGACGTACATCTCAAAAGTATCACACCTGTAAGAGCTGCACAATTTTTTCTCTTAAGTCTGATTGATTAAGTGAATAAATAGGAAACTAAAGGAATGGACTTTTACATGTTCATATTCCTTTGAAATCGACTGTTAGTCTATTGACTAACACTCTCCCTAGTTTATTCTTTTCTACTCGGGAAAAAACAAACAGTACTAACTAACGCATAACAATCGGATCATATATATATCCTTATGGATCACACAGATGACCAATCAATAGAACATAGAAGAGAGAGAAGAAAAAGAAGGTAGTGCACGAAAGAGAGCGCTACTACCTAACATCGACTTTATCAAATGATACTTTATTTCAAGACTCTACTTTAAGTGAAAATCAATCTAATCATAGTTCCCATTGCCGATCTTAGAAGATCGAGTTTGTATAGTTGTCTTCTAAATTTTAAATTACATAATTTTTTTTTTGCATCAACTCATCGAAGTCGTTTAAGACTTTAGTGTACATATTATTTTTTATAATTTCAGAGAAAATGCACTGTTTATTTTAGTTAATATGAGTTAAATGAGGTTATATTTTTA